TTCAGGTTTCTACCTCTCCAGAGGCAGCGCAGGCCAGAAGATCCCATAGAGTTCAATGTTTCCATTCAAAGGTCCCACTGAGCAAACAGAGGTCAAAAACCCTTGGGACCCCCATAACCCCCCTCCCAGTTGCAGTTCCTCTTCTTTCTCAAGAAAGTATGTCTCCCATTTTTCAACACTTTGCCCGATACAGCAGAAAAAGAGATTTAACACAACATGCCAATTCATTTTCTGTGTGGGTTCCAGATAGGAGGAAGTCATTAGATAGTATTTGAAATACGCATGTCAAATAGATTGCCCAGTTCTGCCAGGAGAGGGAAGAGGAGCAGGCTGCAATCTTGGCATACTTGGAAAGTCAGTTGGGATACTGGGAGTATGTTGTCACTGATCTACTATTTGGAACAGTTTCCCAAAAAGAGAGAATGTGGAATGGACGAGTCAAGTGATCAGAAATACACAGAATGTAAAAGAGCAAGAAAATGCATGTTTCAAACAGGAATGTAATTATTATGATTAGTTTTAAAGAGATGTATGGAAGTGGGAATAAAATCAAAGAAAATATAGCACGGAAGACGTTAGAAATCCTGTTTTCTTCCACTATACTGGAAGTTTCCTTACCTCCTGCTTCCAATGATTTCTATTAACAAACCCTGCAAACAGGGATAGAGTAATAATTTGTAGGCTTTAACAGTTTCCACTATGCTTGATCATTGTAATAATTTTCCAGATCTTTCTAAAATGATCTGTCCTGGCAATATCTAAAACAAACCTTTTGTTTACAGACTTCAAAATTAATCTAAGGCTGCAATGCTGTCCCACTTAGCTGGGTGTAAGCAATTAAAAGTCATTATTAGGACTACAGAGACATGGTTCAAATACAGAGATATTGGGGTAGCTGCTGTCTCCAACCTAATGATACAGGGTTGTTGTGAGAACATGGTTTATAGGGAACAACTCTATATTCCCAATTTGAGCTCCTTGGAGGATAGGTGGAAGTACCACATTGTTTTTTAAAAATCTGAGTCAATATTCATAGGACTAAGCTATACGTTTTGCAGAACCTGATTCAGAATATACCTTGTGATAGCAGAAGATAGCACAAGAGTTTCCTACCAGTGAGTGTCCAAAGCTGACAGTCAACTCAGTAACACGAAACAAAACTACGTGCACACCCAGAAATAGGGAAAGAAGGATTAAGAGTCCTTGCTTTTATTTTTATACATTACTTATTTTAACATGCGTTCCCAGAGAAGCTGTTGGTTTCTACTTCAAGATGCTAAACCCAGTGAGCTCATGGTATTTTTGATGATCAGTTCAGAACAAGTGTTGCAGTCTTTTAGACAGAGAGAATACTCCGCACCACTCTTCTTGAGGTCTCATGAAGTCCTTTTATTCTTTCAAATTCCTGCTGAGTTTCATCTGTCATGTTCTTATTTGCATGGTGTTGATGCGTATTTGCTGTATTTGGAAACCAGTTCTGCAGAACATACATAACGTATGTTTTCCCTACCTGTTTAGACATGAACAGTAAAAGGGTATCAGAGCTCTTCATGTGTATAAGCCTGTTAGGTCCAACTCCCATCCCTCTTAATACGTAGATTTTTTAGCGTTGACAAAGATTGATACAGAGAGTTAGATCTGTAAGGTAATTTCCCAATACTACTATTCAGCAAGGGAAACTTACTAGGGTTACCAGATCTAAACTGCAAAAACCTGGACAACCACTAGAGGGGTTTGAAATAGTACTATGAAGACCAGGGGACAGACTGGCATCCAATTATCATGTTTCCAATCCCTTGGAATAGGGATTTCAAAGATGAAAGTTAAAAAAAAAAAAAAAAAA